CCGGGAAGGTCACGGCCGCCACCGCCCCCCGGGCTTCTAGCCGGCTCCGCACCCCTGGGGAGCGCTGCCTCACTGCCAGTGCCCGTGCCCAGGCTCCCCGAGGAGACCCGTGGATGCCAGCACTCCCCCGCGGGATGTGGGGCAGCCGGGTGGCCCCTTTTGGGCCTTGTTTCCTTTTCTATGAAGTGAGCAGTTGGGAGGCAGCTTGCAGCTGGGCGCCATGGCGCAGGTCTGTGACCCCAGGGACTCAGGGAGACTGAGGCCGGTCATGGAGAGTTTGAGCCCAGCCTGCACAGCGTAATGATTCAGTGAGCCCCCGCCTCCGAGAGAAAAGGGCTGGAGAGGAAGACCTGGGGCTCCACCCCCAGCCCAGGGAGGAAGGCAGGCCGGGTGCGGTGGACCACTCCTGTGGTCCCAGCACTCCGGAGGCTGAGGCAGGAGGATGATGGTGAGCTGGAGGCCAGCCTGGGCTGCATGGCGAGACCGTCTCTCAAAAAAACAGGGAAGATTGAAAGAAGGAAGGAAGGAAGGAAGGAAGGAGGGAAGGAAAGGGCTGGGGTTGTAGCTCAGTGGTGAGCACTTGCCTACCATGCAGGAGGCCCCGGGGTTCCTTTCCCACACTGAAAAACAAAACAAACAAACAAAACCCAGCCCCTGTGGAATGTTAAGGGTTCATGATAAGGGTTTAGGAAACAAGGCTCATGGGGTTGAAAAGACTGCTTCTGTCCTACTGCTAGGGTCGTGGTTTTCTCTGGTGTCCCCTGCTCATGCAGTTCCATTGGCCTGGAACACCTTTCCCATGTGGAAACTCCTACTTCTACATCAAAACCCAAGTCCTAAATCTATTTTCTGCCTGGCATTTTTCTGAGGCCTTAGCAATTCTTTTCCATTTTCTTTTTTTTTTTCCGCCTGCAGCAGGAATTAAACTCACGACCTTGCACTTGCCAGGCAGGCGCTGTGCCACTGAGCTAAATCCCCAGCCTCTTCTTTTCCATTTTCATAGTGGCCCAGCGAGGCAGGAGCTATGTTGTACCCATTTGAGAGAGTGTGGAAACAAAGGCCTAAGGTAGGGGTCTGACCTGCCTGGGTCCACAACGTTGAGAGAGGCCAGGGTTAGGGTTTGGACTCAGGTGGCTTCTGCCTTTGTCACTGCCCCCCATCCCTGTCCCCACCCTCGAAGGTGGAGGGGGTTGGAGGAAAATCGTGGTGGTAGGAGATGACATTGGACCATGTGGCTCGGTGACCTTGGGCTCTATGGGAGTCTGTGTCCCAGGACCCCTCCTGGGACAGGGTTCTGTCCTGTCTCAGCCCTGTTAGCTGTGAGTGTGATGACGGGGGGTGATGGCCTCTGCCTTCCCTCCTCCACCAGGGGCTCCCCAGGGCTGCAAGGTCCCAGTGCTGCTGCTGGGGTGCAGCGTGGGCTCCGTCAGCCCTGATACAGGCCGGACCGTGGGTGGATGGGCGGGTGTGGCAGAGCCTGGCCGGCCCTGTGGGCACATGGGCTTGATGTTGGGGGACCACTGCCTGCCACACAGCCCAAGGAGACACCATGCTCAGCCAGCGTCAGGGCCAGACAGACAACGGTGAACAGCAGGGATCACCCACAGTGCGGGTGGGAAAGAAGCCAGACGTGCCTGTGATCCCAGCACTCTGGGAGGCTGAGGCAGGAGGAGCACAAGTTGGAGCTCCACCTGAGCAACTTAGTGACTTAGCGAGACCCTGTCTCATAATAAAAAATAAAAAGGGCTGGGGATGAGCTCAGTGGGAAGGCCCTGGGTTCAATCTCCAGTACTAGGAGAAAAATAGACTTAATATCAGGCAAACAAAGGAGGGTACAGTTGTGGAGGAGCCCAGAGCCGCTCCGGATGGGGTGGGGCTCCCGGAGAGGTGACTTTGGAGATGAGGCCCGAAGGAAAGGAGGGAGCCTGGGAGGGAGAAAGGACTGAGTCTGTGCTGGGCCAGGTCGGGGGCGCAGCCTGTGCAAAGGGCCTGGGGCTGCTCGGAGCTGCAGGAGTTACTGGGTGCAGGGCCCCACAGGAGAGGGTGAGCCTGGCTCTGCCCGCCCTGCCTGGCTTTGGGAAGCAGCCTGGGAAGCCAGGCCCAGGGCCTGCACCCCAGCCGGCCTCCCCGCCCCCTCTGGCAGCCGGAGAAACCCGACTCGGAGCGCGGGCGGGCAGCGTGCCAGGGTGGTGGGGGAGGGGCTGCCAGGCCCGCCCGCCCCGGCAGCTGCCAGCCCAGATGGTGCCCATGTGCTGACGCCGCCGCCCTGGGCCAGCCTCCCCTCTCCTGTTCCCGCCTCGGCCGTGCCAGCCGCCCGCAGCCCAGCGCCTGCCAGCGCCATGGCTCAGTGAGCCCCAGAGGGTAGTGGGGAACTCGGGCAGGGCCCCACCCTGCCTAAGTGGATCCGGGCGCAGTGACAGCCGCACGGATCATGGCGACAGCGAACGTGGACTCCCTGCCCACGTGTCTTTTTATTTATTTATTTATGTATGTACGTATGTATGTTGCGGGGCTGGGGATGGAGCCTAGGGCCTCACGTGAGCTGGGCAGGCGCTCACTGCTGAGAGGCACCCCCATCCGCACTGTGTATCCTGACTGTTTGCATCTCTCTGCCATCCTAGAGGGGAAGAAGTCTTACTTTCTCCCAGATTTCATAAAGAACCGGATGTGGTCCTTTACTTGCCTGAGGTCACACAGCTCTGAAGAGGCAGAGCTGGGATAAGAATATAGGGGTCTTTAAAAGAAAAAAAAGCAGGAGGCTGAGGCAGGAGGATCGCTGTGAGTTCAAGGCTAGCCTGAAGTATATAGCGAGGCCCTGTGTCAAAGAAAAAGATTGATGCCAGACATGGTAGCACCTGTCATGTGGTGGAGCCCAGCCTGGGCAGCTTAGTGACTTAGCAAGACCCTGTCTCAAAATAAAAAGGGCTGAGGGTGTAGCTCAGTGGTAGAGCACTGCTGAGTTCCATTTCCAGGACCACAAAAAACAAAAGGAAAAAGAAGGCATGAAACACTCTTTCAAGAACCCGAACAGCAAAACATCCCCTTTCTGGTTAGCGGATAGAAGTCACACGTGCTCACAGCGCAGAGATAATAAGAAGCAGACAGACCACGGACACGGTGTGGATGGACGTGGGAATGGGGACTGTGGAGCCACCTGCTGCACGAGGCTTGAGGCTGTGCTGTGTGACTTCGGGTGGAGCCCTGCCCTCTCTGGTCTTGGAGTGAGAACTGTGTGTACCACATCATGAATTGGAGTCAGGGATCCCCAGAAAGCATACAGAGGGTGCTCCATAAAGGCTTATTTGCTTCCTGGATCCATTTCCTAGCTCCAGGAGAGAGGGAGGCCCCAGGCCTCCTTCTTCTCACCCAAGGGAGCAGCTAGGGCCCCTGTGATGCGGGGTGGCCCAGCAGGAGTCCAGGTGGCCTGGCAGGGACGCCTCAGCCCACAGCTGTGTGACCTCTGGTGAGTGATCTCCCGGTGTGCTGGGCCTCAGTTTTCTTCCCTAAATGGGGGTGATTCTAGCCGGGCGTGGTGCTGCACACCTGTGATCCCAGCACTCAGGAGGCTGAGGCAGGAGGATCACTGTGAATTTGAGGCCATCCTGAGCTACATGGTGAGATCCTGTCTCAAAAATTTTTTTTAAATGGGGTGATTCTGATCCCAGGGCTAAGACAGCTGGACAGGCTGAGTTAGCCAATGCACAGAGCTTGGACGGGCCTGGTATACAGTAGGCGCTCAGCAGGATTTGTCGCCTCAGAGGAAGGAAGCCCTGGCCCCGCTGTATCAAGGATGGGCCTTGAGGCCGTGCTGCTCAGGGAGCTGAGCCACACACAGAAGGTCACGCACCGCAGGGTCCCACTCCCAGGACGGCCCGGTGTGCTCAGAGCCACGGGGACAGACGAGGACGGGGATGCCGGGCTGGGGCGGGGACAGGCTCAGCGTGGGCAGGTGGGAAGGCCCAGAGGCGGACGGCACAGCCCGTGGTAAGCGCTCACTCGCCGTGCAGGGGGTCCCAGGTTCCATCCCAGCGCCAGAAAAATAAAACCAAAGATGGGAA